CCTAGTTTTCCCATTCTCCCACAGAAGGTGGAACAGTTTGAAAAATGCCAAAACTATGGCATCCTTAATGTCTCTCCAGCCTGGGTGGAAAACAAACTCAGCAGCAAGGATGCAGTGGCAGCACTTGGCTGCATTTGATCTGTGGCCCCAGAGCAGGGTTTTTGCCACTTGTGTGCTCCAGTTGGTGGCCCAGGAAGGTCAGACACCCTTGGACACTGCTCTGCTGATCTGTGGTCTTACCCTGTGTGGCAGCCCACTGCAGGAGCTCAGCTGAGCACCTGGGTGCAGTAGCCATCCAGATAGGGTCAGCATTCATCCTCATGTATAATTCACTATGATTTTCTACCAGCATTCATAATGGCAGGTATGAGACGTCTGCATTGTCTACAAAGTCAGTATATGACAGAGTGCCAGGGACACATCATTCTTCAATCTAACAGCTTGTGCTTCCCCATCCCATTCCCTCCTCATTTTGATAACTGGATTGTCCTTTGCCTGCACACGACAAGGGAGATTGCTACTGCCATTACTTCATCCACTCATTACCAGAAATAAAACACCCAGAAAATTTCCTTACTGGTTAGTATTCCTAAGTTGAAATGACACACCACATTATTTCCAAAATCTAGTCACTTAGAATCAGTCAAGAAACTGAATACATTAAATGAATAGATTATTCTTATTACTGTTATTACTTACATCTCATCAAAGGTATGGATATTGTTGAATAAGAAAGTAAAATCTTATTCTTTTCTTCACATCAGTTCCAGAGACCCAATATTTCTCACCATAAGGGAAAGGGAGACTGTTTCTGTTTCCAGTAGCCAGAGTGCATGACCATAGCCTCAGATCTCCAGCACAGGTTGGTAGGAATAACAGGTTTTGGAAATAGGAGCCAAGGATGTTTTCATCTTTGTAGAAGCTATGATGTATCACTAAGATTTTCATTTCTATTTTTCATTTCATTCATGAAATGATGTCCTTCCTAATTTATCTCACCCTCTAGCTAGTTGTTGTCTGGGGACTTTTACAAGTCTTAAATTCATGTCTGAAAGGGATAACACTGCTCTTCTCATTCAGTTAAAACAAAGACTTACTTAGAAAATGTACACATTTAAACCCACTTAATGTTTCAAATATCATTATTTTCAGTAGCAACTGCTTCTTAGTTAAATGGTTTTTCAGGCATCAGACTATTATATGACAGATGATTTTGTCACTATGCAAAACGTGAAACCTGTAATCAACTTGTTATGGCATTTCACAAAAGTATGTGACAGTAAAATAAGTAAACTGTCATTTGGGCAATCAAGTCTTGAAATCCTGCAGGAGGTAAAAAAAAAGTACCTGACACTCAATCTTCATGGTAGAAATGATGTTCAAAAAGTCGTTTAATACTGCTACAGTCTTAGAGATTTGAATAGAATTTTTATTGCAGTGTGCTTAAGCCTACAATAATTTTGTATTATGTTTTAATCACTTTTTTTTCCCTCCTAATTGATTCTTTCCCCAGAAAGTCAACATGCACATCACACAGCGAGGTCTGCTCAGTTAACAAGGTGTTGGTTAAATTGAAACAATATTTTCCCTTTACTACTGATGACAACATTATCAATTACAAAGCATTTTCAGACTGGTTTGATAAGAGAATGGATGCAATAGGTAAGAGCCCATGCTGATTTTCTGGTACCTGGGACAGCCTGGGGAGGTGGTGCTGGTGGCAGCAAGCTCCTACATGGCTGGAACGCTTGGGATGACATGCTGCTGAGCCCACGCTGTGCTGGCTTAACGAATGTCACATCAAAGTTTTAAGAAAGGAAAGGGATACAGAAGCTAGAGTCCATAAGCCACTAGTGGCCCTTCCTGCTGGTCTGTTTGGCCTGCAGCTTGTTCTCCCAAGTCCTTGTTCTCCTCTGTGGCTGCTGGTTTGATGCAGCAGGCTGGTAGCCACAGTCCTCCTTGGGCTTCCCTTTTCCACAGGTGCTCCCCCAGGCTCAAGGAAGGAACAGGCTAAGGTTAGGCTTAAAACCAGTTAGTAAGTCATGTCAAATCACAGGGAGGGCACTCCAGGGGACACAGGTTTCACCATTATGCCACCAAAAGGTGTGTTCCCCTCTCGTGTCCAAAGAGCAAACATCCTGGGTGTACAGAATTAGCAATGAGCTCCTATAACTGAAAGTGTAAAATGAATCTGTAGCCTCCTGTTTCCAGTCATTAGTGACAGTCACAGATTTTGGAACAGATCTCCTCCCAGAAATGAGCCATAGAAATAGGAATAAAATTACACTTGATTGAGAAGACTGAAGGGAAACAGGGAAACCTATTTTTATTTGGCTTTTTCGTTTTGTTTTGGATTTTTTCTTTTTCTTTTTTTTTATTTTTTTAAATCTCTTTATGATTACAAATCAACTGGTGAAAGCTGTAACCTACAAGATAATGTTTTGCATGGAGTAACCTTCAATGAAGACCACTGCACAGCCTGCCTTCGAAGAAAGTTGGTTTTGTTTTGACAAAGTTATGAACGTTTGGAAATTACTCACTGAGCACACATAACAGGCCTTTTGTTAAGTCTAACTAGAAACCAAAAAAAACAGTATTGCTCTGTGTACACAGCTGATTTTGCTGCTGAAGCTGCAGGGCCCCAAGAACATGCTTAGACTGGACTCAAAAAGGCGCTGACTTGAGCATTTGACCCAATGAGAGCTCAATCCTGTGGCTCACGAGTCCTCTTTATAAAAGAGATTAAACAGATAAAAATGACATGGAGAAAGGAAGTTTGTGTGGAAAGATAAGCCACAGATAAGGGGGAAGTGGATAACAGCACAGAAACAGACACATTTACTTTAAACATACTTAGGAGAAGGCAAACAAGTTGAGATTCTAACTACAATGCAAAGGTATAGAAGGTGTTGAGAAGAAAAAGGATCAGGGAGGTGCAAAATACAAAACCTAGCGCAAAACAACAGCTAAATGAACTATTTAGTGCAATACAACACTGTTAGAATCCATGGAGATTGTAATTTTGGACTCTTCCACTACTGCCCACATTTTCCTCAGGAAACATCCCACTGTAATGAACAACCAGATCAGTTATGGGCACAGAGAGCTCTTTGCTTCCTCACAAGAGTCAACATGAGTACAAACTGCCCTTTCTGTTAGCTTCCCAGCTCCCAGTCTCAGATAATGAGATACACTGTTCTTGCCACTGCCATGTGCTGTAGGGTGACCCTGCTTGAGCAGGGAAGTTGAACCAGATGTAGTCCATTCCGATTCTACCCATTCTGTGGTCCTGTAAGTGTATGCATGATATGCTGAAGAAGTCAAGAAAGACTGTTTGAGTTCAGAGGTACCTGAACTATTCTCTGCCACTTGCTGGACAGCTCTGCTTTCTAAGACTCAGCTGTTCCACAACATTATTTGTCATCAGCTATGTCTATCCCTAGTAGTTGCCTCCTTAGATCCTCAAGTGAATATGTCCACTGTGATTGGTATTCCTCATGCCCAGTGATTTGACTGGTCCATACTGTGTCTGACAGCACAGAGGCTGACAATAAGAAGAATGTAGTTATGGAGCAGAGCACTGTCACTTTTGTGCGTGTTTTGCTTCCCTGTGGAGTGCTCATTACATTATAAGAATTTTAGGAGTCATAACTGCTCATCTGACAGTTTGCCAACTATTTTGACAAATCTGCTTATAGAGTGAGAGCAAACTACATGGGGTCCTAAGCTCCCAGAGAGCTTCTAGTTTTACAGGGTATTTGTGCTGCAAACAAATATCCACATGTGCTCAGGAAACCCAGTGATATTCGTCCAGTTCATAATTGAATGTCCCAGATAAAATTACTTCTGTTAATGGGCAGCTCAGCAAGAGTCACCTGGTCCAAACGCAATGTCAAGGTGGTGGGTGATGACACAGCAATTAACAACCTTTGGAGACTGACTGACACACCAGATCTTGACACATAATTTCCCACCAACTCGATGTATTCTGAATGCTTTTAAAAGCAGAGGAAGGCCGGATCAAGTCACTAAGTGCAAAATGTTCCTCATCATAATGGTGGGCAGAACCAGTTCCCTGACACCAATTAATATTTTTTTTCTAAATAGGACCAGTTTCCTTCTTTTCCTGCTCTCACCCTCCAGCTCCTAGCCTCTGTCTCGGACCTCTCCCAGTGTTCCAGGTCAGACTTTCCTGATCTGCCTCCGCCTGTGAGCTCCGCTCAGGGTGGCAGTGACACCGGTGCGGCGGGCAGCTGGGGGCCGGAGCGTTCCCGGCGTTCCCGGGGAGCTCTCCCCGGTGCCGGCCGCAGCGGGGGAAGCGCGGCTGGGGCGGCTTCCCCTGCACCGCCGCCCGCGGCCCGCCAGGCGGCAGCACCGCGGGTGAGCTCCGCGCGGGGTGGGTGCGGAGAGGTGTCCCGCCGAGACAAAGGCGCCCAGGAAGGTGCAGCCGCGCTCGCCGCGCCCGCCCCGGCAAAGCGGAGGCGCCCCCCACCGCTGCGCCGCCTCTCCCCGGCCTCCCGCGGCTGAGCCCCCGGGAAAGGGGTTCCCACGGCAGGGGCTGCCTGCGCCCTACGGAAGGAGGAGGAGGAGGAAGGCGGGCAGGGGAGCAGCTATGCCGTGGGCAGGAGGGAAGCCGCTCTGCGAGCGTGAACCGAGCTTAGCGCCGCCGCCCGCCTCGCCTCCCCGTCCGTCCGTCCCTCCCTCCCTTCTCCCCTCCTCCCCCCGCCTCCCCCCGCCGCAGACGGCTGCGAGCCCGGATGGTTTGCGAGCGGAGTTGAGGGGGCAAACTTTGAAGCCCAGATGCCTCTGGGGCTGCGCGACAGAGCGCGGCTGCTCCTGCAGGCACCTGCCGCCGCCCTCCCCCCGGCGCTGCCGCCCTCCGCGGGGGCGGCCGGCCCCGCTGCCCGCGACCGCCGAGGCGGCGGGCGCTGCGGCCAG